TTTTTTATGAATACCATCTGTATGAGAATATTCGATAATCTGTTTAGGTTTTGTAATAAAAAATTTATTCATTTCATATAATTTAAAAACTGGAGTATCTTTGTAATAGATTGCATGATAGTACAAATTGTTGCCGATAAGAAGAAAAGTAATTTCATTTTCAGTCATTAGTGTAGAATTAATTTTAGTTGTAGTATTATCATTTTCATAATGAATTTCATATTCTTTAGGCGGAAAGATTAATTCATTATTTTTAAAAAATACAATTCTATGATAGATTGTATAATATTTTTCAATTACAATGTAATATCATTTTTAGTATCATGAAAGATACGTCTGTTAACAAAATTTTCAGTTTGAAATTTTTTTAAAGATTCAACATGAGACATTTTGATGAATAGATAATTATCAAGTTTTTTTATCGATAAGATGATATTACCAAAATTTATTGCATGCATTTTATCAAAAATTGGGATTATTTATATTATTAAATAAAATTAATAATAGGTTTTTATTCGTAAGAAATTTATTTAAAGAATTTGGGGATTTGGGGTTGTGTAATATGAAAAATTTTTGTTATCTGATAAAGATTTTAGTATGAAAATACCAAATATAGTAAATAATATTAATCAAAAATTATTGGTTTTTGTATCTGCATGATAATGCATTTAATTTTGTATGTAACAAAGATAGGCGTATTTACAAAAAGATTTGATAAGATCTTAACAAATAAGGGTTTATTGATTTTATTATAAGGTTTTTTTTTCGATATACTATATTTGAATTTTATTGATAGTACAAGATTGAAATTTCTTTTGTTTTGATTGAACAACAAAGGAAAAATATTTTTGTATTCTTTTATTCATAATAATGTTTTCAAGAAAATGATATTGCATCAAAAGTTTGTTTTCGTATCAAAAATTTCTAAATGAAAAAATGTCTTGCAGAAAGTTTGAGAAAAAAAACATTTCAAGCTTTATTTATAAAGATATTTAAGTATCGATTTTTATATCATTTCGAATCGTTAATTGAAAATACCAAAAATTTTCAAAATATCAAAGAAAAAAAAATTTATTCAACTATACAAATCTTCAAACAAAATTTTATATCAAAAACAATGTTTTTAAAAATCTTTTACATAATTCTTGTTATTTGTGTTTTGTTAGTTTTCATATTATCAAACACATTTCCAGAAGAATTTCAAGCATTACAAATCG